AAGTATCTTATTTCTCTATCAATTTTGAAAGATAGTTTTGGGCAGTCTATCAATCTAGGTTGGAGGTTGTTTGCTTTTGGGCTCAAAATACCTCATTCCAAGCTCTTCTTAGTTTGAGAGTTCATGCTGAGAAGTGTGCTGTGATTCTGATGGGCTTTCCTTTATAGGTGATTTGTTTCTTTTCTCTAACTGCTTTTATTAATCTGTTTTTATGTGGAATTTCTGGAATCTTGATTATTATATGCCTTGGTGAAGATTTATTTTGGTCTTGGCTGTTTAGAGTTCTATATCCTTCATTTATTTGTATGTCAAAATTTTTATCCACGTTTGGAAAGTTTTCTGCCATTATTTCTGTGAAGAGTTTTTTTAAATGGCATTTCTGCTGTCTCAAGCTTTCTCATTGACCCCAATCAATTTTATGTTGTTCTTCTTTGCTTCAGCTTGCAGCTGTTGAACTGACTTTTCATGCTCTCTTGCTATTTTTAAGATATCTTTATTTTTATGTTTGTTAGCTGCAATCCTGTCTTCTAGATCTGATATTCTAGCCTCACCTTCATTTATTCTGTTATGTATACTTTCAATGGAGGCTTTAATCTCTTGGATTTCTATTTGGATCTATTTCATGGATTCCATTTCTTTTCTGTGTTAGGCATTTACAGTTTCCAGCATTTTCTTAAGGTCTTCTTTTTTTTTTTTATCTGTGTCTATTCTAATATCTTTCATTTTGATCATCATTTCTTTTTGTATCTGAGAGATCATTTTTTCTATAGCATTTCCATTTGTTTTTTCATTTTTCCTACAATCATTTCAGAAAGTTCCAGTGCTTGACTTCTGGTTTCCTCTGTCTCATTGTTCTCTGGGCTTGTCCTGGGTGGGCTAGGAGTTGGAAGTTGTACTCTGCTTCTGTGTCTTGTCATTTTCTGTTTTCTAATTTTTCTCTTATTTTGTTTCTTTGGTTGCTGCTTGCCAATTTTGTATGGTAGATAATTTTATTGCTATTGAAGCTTCCCTAGAGGATGTCTGTTCTTCAGAGATGTCTTTTAGATATAGATGGTGTAATAGTTGATAGATTGTGTCAATTTGAGCAATTTAGAAGCTAAACTCAGCAGGGAGCCAGGGTCCTCACTTTGTAAACATCCTCATCTTGTGCAAGAGGCAGGCACAGAGATGGTATGAGTGCTATACCCTCCCTGGGAGAGGGTAGCCTGCTTACAATATAAAAGGATTAGGAGTTTCGGGCTGGGGATTTAGCTCAGTGGCACAGCACCTGCCTGGCAAGGGCAAGGTTGTCCCTTCCATTGAGAACCAGAAAGGTCCAGAGTCAGCGGAGGAGCTGCTGCTGAACAAGGACTCAGAGAATATGAGAATACAGAGTAAGTCCGAAGAGTCTGAGGTCTAATGGACTGGAGTCACAAGAGCCATTCGGAAGCTGTAAACCAGGAGGACCTTGTGCAATACCTGGGGAGATCCCCTGGAAGCCATTCTTCCCCTGATAGTACAGGCTGCGGTGGAGGAGTGCGTGGAGCTCTGGAGAGGTCTGCACCAAGATTCCTGCTGTCTGTGCTGACAGTTGGGGAGAGGACACTAACTGGTTGTGGGGTTCCAATGCAATGGGAGGCTGGAGAGAAAAAGCTACAAAAAATGGCTTTCACCCCAGATGGCTCACTTGAGATGTTAGTAAGAATTGCCTCCTCAGTATTCTATAGCTGTGATGAGGAGGAGGCCAAGGAGAGAAAACAAAGAGACTGAGAAAAAGCAGCTGCTTTTGCTGCAGCACTAAGAGAAATAGACCCTAAGTCTGATTCTGGGGGCCCCAACAAGAACTCAATGACTGCATTCATCTGCTACCGCTGTTAAAAGCCAGGCCACCTCAAGAGGAACTGCCCTAAGAGGCCCCCTGGGCCATGCCCTGAATGCAAAGGTGACCAATGGAGGTCTCTGGAAGAGAGAATATGTAGAACTCTTGTAGATATAAGTGTAGGCAAAGATTTTATGACCAAAACTCCAACTCCACAGGAAATACCACAAAGAATCAACAACTGGAATCTCATCATATTAAAAACCTTTTACACAGCAAGTGAAAACACCAACAGAGTGAAGACACAACCCATAGTGTAGGAAAAAATTTTTTATCAGCTTTTCCTCAAAGGATTACTACTGAGAACATATAAAGAACTTAAAAAACACCCCAATTTAAAGACCTAATCAAAAAATGGGCATCTGAAATAAAAAAACACTTCTCAGATGAAGAAGTAGAAACAGCAAATAAATGTATTAAAAAATGTTCAACATCACTGGTAATTCAAGAGATGAAAATTAAAACACTGAGATTCCATCTCATTCCAGAAGGAATGGCTATTATCAAGAAATCAAATAATAATGCTGGTAGGGTTGTGGGAAAAAAGAACTATTCTGCACTGTTGATGGGAGTATAGACTACTGCAATCACTATGGAAATCAGTATGGAGATTCCTCAAAAAACTAAAACTAGAGGTTCCATTTGACCCAGCTATTCCCCTTCTTGATATCTTCCCTAAAGGATTAAAAGCATCATACTACAGTAATATATGTACATTCATGTTTATAGCAGCACAATTTGTAACAGCTATATCTTGGAAATAACCCAAATGCCCATCAACAAATGAATGGATAAAGGTGTGATTGTTTTAATATAATGAAGTATTACTCTGGCATAAAGAAAAGCCCAGGCCCTGATGGATTCACTGCTCAATTCTACAAGAAATTTAGAGAAGACCTAATGCTACTACTTCTGAAACTCTTTCATGAAATTGAAAGGGAAGCAGTACTCCCAGATTCATTCCTGAATGCAAATCAGAGAAAGATTCATTCTTGATACCAAAACCAGAGAAAGATCCAACCACAAAAGAAAACTACAGGCCAGTCTCCCTAATGAACATAGATGCAAAAATCCTCAATAAGAGGATTCTCGCAAACAGAATGCAGCAAGTCAAGAAGGCTATACACCATGACCAAGTAAGAGGCATTTCTAGCTAAATGGATGCCCCTTGAGACCATACTCTTAAGTGAAATAAATTGAACATACATGTTTAAATACTGCATTGTTTGTCTGGTGTGAGAAACTGAAAGTGTAAATAAGGATCAAAATGTATAACAGATATTGGGAAATGGGAAGAAAATGTTCAAATGAGAAGAGAACAAGGGAGAGAAGAGGGGGAAAGGAAGGAAAGGACAAGAATAAAAAAATAGAATAGAAGGAAAAAATGAAAACAAAGCTTCTGTAAATAAGGAAGAGAAGAGGGGTTGGAGAGGAGGGGGATGGGAAAAAAGAAGCAAGATATATCATGTACAGGTACAAATACCATATGATGAATGTAATCATTATGTATACCTAAAATGTACCAATAAAATTTTTTAAAAGGCTTGGAATTGATGCTGTCTTTCAGTATAAGATAGTGAAGTCTTTGGAAAAATCTTTGAAAAAAGCTTTCCTTGATGGTTATGATGAGTATTTTGATAATGTAGCTGGAGAATTTTCAAGCACTGTTATACCCCAGATAAGGATGTTTGGAAGAAATGCCATCTGTGGGTCATCTCTACATATAAAGGACAGGCACACTCCCCCAGGCAAAATTCAGTACCAGGAATACATGATGGAAAGATTTAAAAACATGCCAGTTGCATCTATGGAAATGCTGAAAAGATCCAATTTGGGGAAAACAATAGTGAAAGCATGAAAAAAAATCACACATGAACATCACTGCATGATTTGGTAACTACTTTTCACTATTTGGTGAAAATGCATACTGCCCAAATTATCTAAGACACAGTAACTGTGATGACTTAACTAATAAAATACACTTTAGTGGTTTGTAACCAGAGACAATAAAAACTTCAATGCTAACAACAATTAGAAAAAAAAAAAAAACACAACAAAAGCATTTCAAGGAGCAGCAACTCAGTAAAAGCCTTCTAACTGGTAACTTTTAAGATAATACACTGATTTATATTGATCTAAATAGAAAGTTAATAAAGAAAGTAATAGCTTCAGAAGGAGTAAGGCAGAAATCTGTTTGGAATAAAGTAAAGGCAGTTTTGCTAACTTACTCCAAATTCAGTATTTCTCAAAATGTTGTCCAGCATTCACCTGCATTCAAATGAGCTGGACAGGGGCTGGGGATTTAGCTCAGCGGCAAAGCGCCTGCCTGGCAAGTGCAAGGTCGTGAGTTTGGTTCCCGGTACCAGAGAAAAAAAAAACCAAAAAAAAAAAAAAGAGCTGGACAGCCAGTCTATAATACAAATTTATAGACCCATCCTAGCCCTAAATACAGTGGGGCAACATGTCTTCTCTCCATATGCATGCATAATTAGTTCAGACCTCCAATACCAAAATCTGCATATGCTCATGTCCTTTATATACGATGAGATAGCTTTTATATATCATCTACACACATCTTCCTGTGTAATTTAAATCATCTCTAGGTTATTTAAAACCTCATGCAATGTAAATGCTATGTAAATAATTATACCATTTTGTATAGGGAATAATGCCAGGAAAAAAAGCCCATACATGTTTAGTATATTCACATTGTTGAATATTTTTGATCTGTAGTTGGTTTTTATCTGTGGATACAGAACACCCAGATACAGAGGAACAACTGTAATAGCATTTTTGGAGTAGGCCATGGAATCCAACATTTAAAAAAGTTCCCCTAGATTCAGTGCATTGTCTATTGCTTTTTTGGTAAACCAATAAAAAACCCTCAACCCATTTAGAAACAGAATCTCGGACTCATAAACCACAGTATGGCTGACTCTTACTATTTTCTCATCCAATACCCATTCTCCTCTAGTCCTTATTCACAGAATTCCTGTCTTGTTACATGCGCAACATGTCCAGTAAAACACTAGGTGTTTTCAGTTCCCTAGTTGGTGGAGCTGTTATGTAACATAGTTCTAGAAATGAGATATAAGAAACTTCCAGAAAAGCTACTTTTAAATGGCAAAAAGGACAGACTCACCTGGTATTCAGTGTTCTGCACTTCCTTCTGCTGAAATACAGGTACCTTGGAGACTCGGTGTGACAGCCCACCTGTTTCAGGTGAGGTTCTAAAACACCTCTCTCAGCCTGAAACTTCTCACCTCCAGTCTTCCAGCTATCTGAGAAAGACAAAGTAATTACTTGTTTAAGCCACTTTAGAAAGGTTTTCTGAAAACTGTTCTGAAAAATGAAATTCTAATGTCATCTCATATGTGAGAAAAATGAAATTCTAATGTCATCTCATATGTGTTCAAACAATTATTTAACAAATATTTAATGTCTCTAACAATACTGAACACATTGGATCATACAGCTGTAGTGGCAAGCTGCCTGCACAGCTGTCTGGATCTGTTGTAGAGACTTCCGTAGTTCTGGGTCCCAATCTCAACTAGCGGCTTTCTGAGTCACTTAGTCAGTGGGCCAGAGTAACACACCCAATGTGTCCAGCATCCAAATAGGCCCACCAGGTGCTGTGCCTATTTCTGGGTTATAGGAGAGGCTGTATGCATCACCTTCTTCGTTACCTATGGGCACCATGCCAGGAATAATCTAGGAAGTCAGACAAATAAGATGTTTTCTCTCACAGAATATAGTTAGACTGAGAGGACCTATAAGTACCGAGGCCCCCAATTTACAATGGTTTGAGAAACAAATCATAGTCTTCTATCATAAAACTAAACAATGACAACAACAATGACAACAACAACACCCTAATGGGAGCTATGGTATTCTGGAAGAAGTTTTACCTGACATCCTGGCTCTGCCATTTAATAACTAGAAAACTCTGGACCAGGTACAAAATTCTTCTGTATCAATTTCCTCAGCTATGACATGGGGATACTACTCTTACAGTGCTGTGTACAAAAATCATTTTGTGCTCTGTGAAGCCCTAGTATGACCTGATTACTAGCAAGATATTGATAATGGCTTGTAATATCTAAATTGTGGTGAGGGGACTAATATGGCATGCTTTGTCATCTTCAGCATAATTTTGCATCACATACAGGTGGCTGATAGTTCTTTTGACTCTTTCAATAATGTATCTTGGGGCTACTTAATATATACAGGAGAGAACAGATTATAAAAAGGGCAAACAATTACACGTTCAATGATCTCTTTTTGTTAGGTTCTAGCTCCAGGGGAGTGGGCTGGCTGGTAAAAGCTGAGTTCAGATGAAGTATGGAGTGCAGGGCTTGAGATCTCTGGTTGTTCCTATTCAGCATGGGTAGTATCTTGAGTCATCTAGTGTATGTCTTATGTCCTGTCCGTAGAAACAAATGTAGATGGTAAATATACCTACAAATGCTTTTTGATGACATATCCATGACTTTACATCTCTTACAGTGAAGAAGTTTCCCAATTGCAGGGACTTTGTCTATGGGAGTGGCTTTTCATGTGGGAGAACTGCCTTTACCCATTTTGAACAAACAAATATTTGAAAAAAGGAGATAATCTTTTGATTATACCCATAGGCAATATTTGTACTTTGAACAAGCATGGTGGCTGATGTTATTTTGAAGTGTGGGGAGAGAAACAGAAGTCTTTCTCTTTTCTTTTAAGTAATCCTATCTGAAAGTGCCACTTGCTAAGATTAAGCTAGAGCCATAACCCAGGACATATCAGGGGAGATCTCAAGTGGAACATCTGATGGCACCTGTGAAATTCAATAGCTTCACTTTGGTTATCACAACCCCACAGGTATAGGGAAAAGTGCATGGTTTCAGGGTAAGTGAATGATAGTACTAATTCCACCTTCCACGGAAGACATGAGAGGAAATCAAAGTTCTTTAGGAAGTGGGAAATTGAATGGCTAGCTCTTATATTACCAGAACAAATACAGTGCAACTATATATCATGCCTCACCTTCTGCTTATCTCCAGCACTCTCCCCTTGTAAAATCAAGGGGCCGTATCCAGTAAAGTCTTACTATCACTCCCATATATTTCCCAGAAACCGTGGTGACAAAGAGTGATCATGTTGTTATTAAGCAAGAAATTCCGAGTGGTGAAGAGCTTTGTCTGAAGTGGGCTGAGTCCCTGCCTTACCAGGGACTGTGATTTTCCACCTTAGTGCTTGCAGCTTACAAAACTCAGATTCTACTGAATACAGAGAACAGCGGCGAGTTGGGGACCGTTGTCCGGCACAGGGGCATGTTTCTTAAAACTATACTTCCTATTTTAAAGCGAGTGAATAATTGCGAGGTAAAAGCTGTAGCCTTTCAGTTGGGAGACTGCCAGTCAGGAGCCAAACAGCCCTAAACGGTGGAGAAGAGGAGGTAAGTGGCAGGCAAAACGACAGTGTGGAGGAAATGGCCATTTCCGTGACTTCTAGGAGAGGGGACTGCCCTACAATTTAAAAAAATGCTTTTCATTTCATAAAGCTCAGGTTTCCCTGGCTGAAACGTCAACTTCCTTCTGTTTAGAGGGAGGTCGTATCTCCAGGATCATCCCCCAGGGCCCAGCCAAGGGTCCCCAACCCATGGCTGACTTTGCCTGCGCTGGCACAGTGCTTCCGCTTCTCGAGCTATTCGCGGAAGCTAAATAATGGCTCGAGGGACTTTATCCATCCCCTCGCATTAGTAGATACCAGACTTCCTGGCTCTAAGGACAGTCTCTGGCGCCTGTATTTGCGGATCAGCGCTAACAAGGAGAGACGGCGAGGGTCCAGGCGCCCAGAGCGACGCTGGCAGGAAACCGCTCGGGGTCTTGGGCCCCGTGGAGCCACCCCCACGGGCGGGCGGGCCGGAGGCCAGCGCTTCACACCTTCCTCTAGACGCCCGCCGCGCGTGCGGCTTCACTCCTGAGGCTCCCGAGGGAGCCTCATTCCAGGGCCCGGGCCACCCGCTCCCGTCCCCGGCTTCCCTCCCCGACCCCTCCCCACCTCGGCGCGTCTTCCCAGTCTGAGACTTCCAAATCTGAGCGCGCCTTTCTGTCCGAGGCCTCGTCCTGGCGGATCCCCCCACTCTCAATCCTCTTGCCCAGCTGGAGCCCCAGTACCTCGCCCCCGTCTTTCGCGTCTGCACCCCTGGACGCAGTGGGCGTCTGACCTGTGTGCCCTCGGAGAGTCCGCCGCCAGCGCCAGCGCCAAGTGCGCAGCGGTGGCCGGGCAGGTGCAAGCGCCTTCCACGCCCCGCCCCGCCCCGCGCCGCCCCGCCCCGCCCGCGTCCTCTTCGACCTGACCTCCCGCCCCGCCAGTAGGTCCAGCTGCACGCTCTGGGCTGGTTCTCGGAGACGTCCCGGTTCTCAGGCACTCCCTAAGGTGAGTGCTTTAGCAAAGGCTGGTTCCTAGGTCATCTAGGTGGACTCAGGGCGACTTTGCACTATGCAAAGCACTCACAGCACCTGGGGAGGACTCTGAATACCCAGGCAAGCGATTACCGTGAGCACGAAGATCACTTGTAGCCGAGAGAGGCTACTGTGGCATATCCTGGAACAGAAGCCACTTTTTCTGGGTAAAGATTGTTGGCTAACTCTAGTGTCACATAATTTGCTCATTCATTAGTTCACTGACTCACTTAACAAATCTGCCGTGTCTTCATTTGACAGCAAATCTGAGAGATGGACACTGTCCTAGGGGTGCAGAGACAAAAGTCTCTGCCCCCAGGGGCTTCCTTCCTTCCTAGAAAGGCAGGGCTTTCTTTGTAGTATCTAACGCTACTGTCTTTGTCCTATCTGTAGCTAAGACCTTGGCTTCCTGCACCGTTGGCTTGGTCCTCATCCCTCAAGGGTATTAAAACAATGATCTACTGATAAGTATCTGGGGAGGAGAGTTGGTGGAGGAGCCTAGCAAAAGCTATGCAGAAGGCGGGAGGCAGTCAGCGTTAAGATACACGGGTCTAGTTCTATAAGATGCCTTTTAATTTATTCCACTGTTGAGGATTTCGTGGAAATGATGTTTGTGTTTGGGCTGTTAAGGCAAGGTAACAGATATGTACTAACCAGAAAGAAAGGCATGGGTCCTAAGCGCAGCTACTTCTGATCAACTGCCTTTTCTTTTCTCTAAAGTCAAAGAAAGGCATTTTGGAGCATGGGGCATTAACCTGTGCAGATCTTTCCTCTGTAAAATGGAGTGAGTGGGATAGGCTGGAAGGCATAAAGTCCAGGAGACTGTGCTATCGGGTAGAAGCATAATGGAACCATGCACCTTGGGGACACGATAGGCAGGAGCCAGGAGCTGGAGAGTACCACTTAAAATCCTGAAGTGAGTGCCCTTACGAGAGATCTTGTGAGCAACAACAGTCTCTCCCAGGTGGCAGGCATCCAGGGCTCCCTCCTGTCACCCGTTTCAAAATACTTGGGTGTGAGCAAGTATTAGCATGATGCCTTGTGCCTTAGCTGTTTAACCGCTAACCCTTTTCCTGTGCTTGCTAACATTAGCTCGTGGATTTTGAAATGGATGATAGGGTGGAGTCCTGGGTGCCTGTCATCCTGGGAGAGGCTGTTGTTCCTCGGAAGATCCTTGTATGGCCTAGCTCTTTAGTAATGTTTTACTTTGGTCACAGGCTAGGATCATGAAACAAACATGGAGCCTCTTAACTGTGTGGGTAGCAATGCTTCTTTTTGTAATTTTTATTGGAACATGTTTGCAGCACATAATGAGGATTATATTTCTCATGGGGCGTTGAAACATGCACATAACACATCTCAATTCTTTTTCCATTCCTTTTCTCTTCCCTTTGTTTTCCTCCCTTTATCTGTCTTGGTTTCTTTCCCATTTGCAAAAGATCTATTTCCTATTATCTATCTTTTATTTAGATCTTTATTTATATGTTTGGGTCTCTCATAAGAGAAACCATCTGATATTTAAGCTTGTGTGTCTGATTTATTTCACTTAACATTATGGTCTGAAGGTACATCCATTTTCCTACAAATGGATCAAATTTATCCTTCTTTATGGAGAATTATGTGTATATACATATACCATTGTGTAGAAGTACCACATTTTCTTTATCCATTCATCTGTTGATGGACATATAGGTTGCTTCCAAGATTTAGCTATTATGAATTGTGCTACTATAAACATGGCTATGCATGTATCCCTGTAATATGATATCTTTATCTGTTTCAGGAAGATACCCGGAAGGGAAATAGCTGGGTGAAGTGGAATTTTTATTTTTATTTTTTTGACAAATTTCCATACTGAGTTCCATAATAGTTGTACTAGTTTACATTCCTAACAACAATGTAGAAGGGTTTCTTTTCCCCTCAGAGATGCTTCTTAATATTCAAAAATCATAACTAAGAAAATTATCTTTGCCTCAAACTATAATATCTAAGTATTAGAACAAACTGGTTTAAAAAATATAAATTTGACCATCTTTAACTTGATCTGTAACAATAATCTAAATCAAACAGCTTCAGTCAGTTAATAGAAGGTAAATTGCTAATGAATCAACTATAAAACAATACAACAATACCAGCTAACAATTATTATTAAATATTTTAATGTAAAATTAGACAAGTTAGTGTCTAGAAATAGGTGCTTATGTCGACCTTAGAAAACACAAGGATAGCAATTTAATTCTGTGGGAAATACTCGCTTATATCATAAATGCTGCCACTATCACTGACCTTCTTTTGGAATGCTCATTATCTGCTTTCCCCTTGGCCATCGTTTTCCCTGTGCAATGTGTAAAGTGCAGGCCAGTGGGCTGAGAGTAAAATAGAAGTCAGACAAGCAACTTTAGGTGGGTGTCCTGAAAGGAAGAGGACATGTCACCTTCTTGCTTGTTCCACTCCTGCTGCCTGGCATGGTGCTGAGCCAGTTTTGGACCATGCAGTGAGCCATCAAAGCAAGTAGCCAAGAGGAGGCTTGATTCTTGGGTGATCTCATGTAGCAGCCTCCACGCTGGTCCTGCCATGCCCACCTCCAGACTGGTATTGAAAAAAAAATAAAATATCTTGTGTAAGTCACAACTATTTGAGGTTTTTGTTACATGCAACTAAATCTACATCTACATCAGATGCAGAACAACATCCCTCCTTCACACTATAGACAAAATTAAAGATAGGCTTATAAAAATCTGAATATTCTTTTCACTTTGCCTAGTAATTATAGTCTGGGGACTCCAGTATATAGAACTAACAGATAATACACATCCTAAAGATTCTTACTGCAACCTTGTTTATAATATAAATGCCTGTCAGTATGGGAATAAGCATATTGTAGCATGCCCTTTCTATGATATAATATATACATAATACATCTATGGTATATTATGGTGAAAATTGAAGTTGAAAATTTGCAGTGTAGTGAAGGTTTTGCTTTTCTTTCTTTTATTGTGGTAGAACCTATATAACATAAAACCTACTACTTTATTTTTAAATATATAGTTTAATGGTATTAAGTACGTTCACACTAATGGGAAGAAAATGTTCAAATGGGAAAGGGGACTAACGATAGGGAAGGAGAAAGGAAGGTGGGATAAAAATATGATGAAAAAAGAAGAATTAAAAGGAAACAAAGCTTTTGTAAATAAGGAGGGGAAAAGGGGGAAGAAAAAGAATCAAGTTGTGTCATGTACAGGTACAAATTCCCTATGATGAATGTGATCATTTTGTTTACCTAAAATGTACCAATAAACATTTCACTTATGCATTCATGTCTTGATAAACACTTGGATTGTTTTTACATTTTGAGTACTATGAATAATGTTGCTGTGAGCATTGTTCTACAAATATCTGAGTCCCAGGTTTCATTTATTTTGTTTGGATTCCTACAAGAGGAATTGCTAGATCAAATGGTAATTCTATGTTTAAGTTTTTGGAAAATGTTGTATTATTTTCCACAGCAGTTGCATTTTCCATTCTCACCAACAGTGCACAGGGTTTTAATGTTTCTGTGCCCACCAGCAGTTACTAGGCAACAGCCATCCTTGTAGGTATGAAGTGGTATTTTGTTGTGGTTTTGATCCACAGTTTCTTAATTAATAGTGCTGTTAAACATCTTTTCATGTGTTTATTGGCCATTTGTATATTTTCTTTGGAGAAATATCTATTCAAATCCTTTGTCGAGTTTTGAGTTGGTATTTTGGTTTGGGTGAGTTTTAGGAGTTCTCTACATATGTTAGGTATTAATCCCTTACCAGATATGTAATTTGCAAATATTTTCTCCCATTCTGTGGATTGCCTTTCACTCAGTTGATAGTGCCTTTTGGTATAAAAAAATTTTACTTTTGATATAGTCCAATTTGCTATTTTTGCTTTTGTTGTCTACTTTTGGTACTGCATCAAAGAAATCATTGTGAAATTCAATGACCTGCGGCTTTTCCCTTATTTTTTTTGTAAGAGGTTTATAGTGCAGCTATTGTGCATAGGTCTTTAATTAATTTAGAGTTCATTTTTGTGTTTGGAAAGGATCCAACTTCATTCTTTTGCACGTGGCTATCCAGTTTCTCTGGCATCATTTGATGGAAAGACCATCCTTTTCCATTGAGTGGATCTAGCAACAAAGCACAGTCTTGGAAAGAGATCAGGACTCTCATGAGGCATAAGCTGTACTGGCATCTTGGTCCTAAACTTCCTAGACTTGGAAACACTCTTGTCAAAATTACTTGATCAGATGTGAAAGGATTTATTCTCTGGGCTCTATTCCATTTGATCTATCTTCCTTTCACCACATTTTTCTTATTTTGTAGGTCTGTAGTAATTGTTAGGGCTTATATCTAGATGTCCACCCAAAGCCTCAGGTGGTCATATATGGGGCTTCTCAGAGGTGGCTGGATCTGGATTGTGCAATACTGGGAACAATGGTGTGGGATTACTAAATTTGTTCATTAATTGGTTTGACATAGTTCTGGCTAGGGTTAAGGGTCCCCTGCCCAGGATGTGAATGCTATCTACCCTAAGGGCAGGTGGCCTGGATAAAATATAAGCAACAGAAAAAATAGCAGAAACTGACTGACAAATATACAGTCCTTTAATTTTGACAAAGTTTGTAGCAATGTGCTATAGGGAAAAGATAGTTTTTTAAAA